CAGGAATGGTTGTGATGAAAATCAATAATAATGGTCCTTTTTTAAAATAACCTAAAATTCATTTTCATTTTCTATAAAAATATTTTCATATTTTAAAACAAAAGAAAAAAATAATTAAAAAAACACAATTTTAAAAAGAAAAACAAAAACAAAAATATAAAAGTGCTCGTACCAAATATCAGAGTGTGCTTACAAAAGTGATCAAATCATTCTTGCTCTTTTACATGCTTGATGGATGGTTAATATAAAAACTCAATTTATATGTAATTTTCACGACTGACAAACATCGACCATAACCTTTAGTTTTAAGACCATATAAGATGGTTAACATATAGATAAAAAAAAATAATAATCATTATCCTCCTATCAGAACAAAAGTCTAAATCCTATATAAATACATGCAAACTCAAATCAAATATGTACTGTATAAATATTACAAATATGCCAAGAAAACCTTAAAAACGCGACTTTGAAAACAAGGAGGTGTAATCTATACAAATCAATTAGTAATTAACTTATCATGACAAGTGAAGCTTTAGCATTTGTCACAGGGTGATATTTTTCACCTTCTATCAGCTTAGGCTTTCTATAGACGCAAAAGAAAAGAGCCGAGGGCAGTACATATGGACAATTTTTCATTTTTTGAACAATGTAAAAATACAAGCAGTTCGACATAAAATACAAATAACTTAAAAATTACAGGGACAAATAAATTATAGCATCTATATTTTTCAACAGCTGAACTGAATAAATAAAACATACTTTGGATTCTAAAACAGACAAAAATTATTACTATGAAGAAATTTTTAAATTTAAAAATAATCATGTGCAAGAACTAGCATTAACTGCTTTATTGAAGATAAGAAAGAATGTCACCTGGATAGATTTTGTTCGCTATTAATTCTCTTTACCAGGTGAAGATAAGGTCGAAACAAAAATAAAGGAATTTGGGGAATTCTCAAATCAAAACATAGCAAATCCTACATTATAAGATGATAAAAAAACTAACAGTCCGCTAAAAGGATCCTTTAAAATCCAAAAAAAAGCTACTTAAAGGCAAAAAAAAAAAAACTAAAAAAATGGCAAAATACTGCAAGAAAGAAACTAAAACAAGCCAGTGACCTTTAAAATCCAACAAGAAATGCTTGGTTCACTAAATATAAAGAAAGAGGGCCTCATACCAACAACACGAACAACAGAGTTGCAAGTTTCTTGGATAGATTTTATGGTTGATCCTTGTTTTCCAATGAGGAATCCAGCTTGTGTTGCTGCCACCAACAATCTTGTCAGCACAGTATTACCAGAATTAGGTAGGCCCGTTGGGTCCCCATCCAAGCCATCTACTAATCGTTTATGAACCTTCAGAAGACCATCCATGGCAGGAGAAATTGACAAATCCGGCTCTTCCTTTGCTGAAATCATTACCTTCACAATAATACAATAGAAATAAATACAAATACAAAATCAATCAGAAAACGCTGGAGAAATATTAAAAAAAAATAGCCAAGAAAATTCTTATTATCTTTCAAGCATGCAAAGACAATATTTGGCTGGGGTTGTTGCCCAAATTTATAAATGTATAACTCTAAAGAAAATTCTAAGCTCAGAAGATGATATATACATCAAAAAGCGTATTATATGTATGCCAAGAAAATTATATTCAAGTAGCATAATATCTCATAAGTAATGGACATAGGTACAGCTCCTCATAATTACGCATACTTTATAATTCACTTTAAGTGATTCAAAAGCACCTTTCAATGGGCACCTCTGTCATCTTTTTTTTTTCTTTTTTTCTTTTTTTTTCTTTTTCATTTTTCTTTTTTCGGGGAGCAATATGTGATTGAACTATACGCAACAAATAAGGATGAAGTGCTAGGAAAATATATAGAAATATTCAATGACTTGAAAGCTTTTATAAATTTTACCAATCACCAAGTTGAAATGATCAAGACAACTTCAGATTCAGGGACATGAAATCAACATAAATGCTGGAGTTCAAACAAAAAGGCCTACTAACAGTAGGCAAATGAAAACCAAGAAATAGATGGATTGAAGTTGCTATTCAGCAATATTGCACTACTATTCTTAATGAGTAGGTCTGCGATTTAACTCCAAAAGGTTAACGCAATTTTAGCATCATCTTGTAATACCTCAATCTAGGATTTTTTTTTCTTTGTTTTGTTTTTGTGTAAGTTAAAGCTTAACAAATACTTCAGGAGATAAGATTAGTTCCCAAATTTTCATGCTGAAATCCTATAAAATATGAAACATCATAGGAACATCATTTCCACCATCTTAAAAAATCAGATTAAGTGTTTACTATTGGTTGGAACAAGAGATATTAATCACATACAAAATTAGTAAAAATAACATTCAAGAAAACAAGTTAAAAACCAAATTTTCAATTTTTTTTCTATAATTTGATTTGCTTGCTATGAATTGGCAAAGAAGATAATTATTCATGCTAATAGGCAACCGTATAAAAAGCAACCATAAATAGCTTCACATTCGCTGGGACAAATTACTAAATAGGCCTATCATAAGTTCTGATACAAAATACCGCCTAGTATAGGCCTTGCATGCATGTGTTGGAAAACAATTTGCAGTTAGCAGTATTATACACTGAACTGTTATTAATCATATTTAACCAGAAAACAATTCACCTAAAAGCTTAGCATATCACATTGTAGCCTAGGATTAATCACTCAGGGATTATAGTTGCTAGATAGATTCATTTTTTAACTTCGTTAAATAAGGGAAGATAGAACCATGTAAAAGAATATTCAATAAAATTTGAAAGCAAGTAGATAAAAAAGGCTTTATATTATCACAATTCTAGTATGTGCTCTTAGGGATACAAAAGTAATCCTGAGAAATAGAACCAAGTTACTTAATATTCAAATTTAGATTATTTTTATATAACTTCAATTTGATATTTGAAAACTAAATGATCTAGGTAAACATCTTGAAGGTCAATTTACTTCTGCGTCTTTTTATCCTCCCTTCTCATCTTTTAAGCCAAAAATAAATTATTAATCCAAAAATTTCTAGTATGCCACCTCATTTATCATGGCTTCATCGAAAAACTTGGATTATAACTGAAGTTATTGTTGAAATTCCTGGCAGACAAACACATTCTCTGAGCATATAAATGAGTTCTTAAAGCTGCAATACTTTACAGCATTTTAACTTAGTGAAATACAGCCATACTAGTATGTTTATAAAGTCCAGTTTCTCTGTTAGTTTTTACATGCACTTTAGAATGCTAATTTCCACCATCATACAATCATTATGCCACTAACTCACATTAAAATTGATTCTCCACCGTATAAAATATTAAGCTTTTTGAATGAGCCTTTGAATGCCAACTTGGAGTACAAATCACTATTATCAGATTAGCACATGGCATTTAGTTTCAGTAAGAACAGCAAAGCCATCTACCCCACTTTTAAACCCCACTTATGTCTTGTTAATTACTTTAAGGAGTTTTTATTTCTCTGTTAAAAACCAACAAACCAGGATCTGAGTTTACCCGATCAAAAGGTTGAGCTTCCTGGCAAAGATGTTCTCCCAACATATATTGCAAGTGCTTAGACCAAATTTTGCAGCACTGATGCTCAAAGATGAAACCTCGCAAACTGGATCATTGTTCTTCTATTTTCACTGACATTGAAGAATTGGAATTTGTTGCCTTATGACAGCAGACAGAACCTGCACAGATCGTTTGGTAATGATGATGTAAGGTAGCAAAGTCGGAAGCCTTATGTGTTCTCTACAATATATCTTTTTTCGTTTAAACAATTTACATCATTAAACAAGAACATTGCCTTATATTATTATAATTATGTTCATATGTTACAGATTTAATTCAACTGACGTCATTAAAATTTTGCCAGCTATAAATTCACATATATTTTTTGTGCCGCTGACCATAAATTCCTAAGATAAGCAGCAATAATAAACTATGAATTTTATAGCATAATTAGTAGTCAAATTCTCTAGATCCGTGCATTATGATGTAGAAACAGCAATTTGATATATAGCTTTTAAAAGAAAAAAATTCATCTTCTTTATGTTAAATTTTCTATATTACCACCTTCAAATGTATGACTAATATTATTTATGTTAATCGACAACCAAAGAACAACTTAGTGTTCTAATTTCATTACTTCTAATGAAGACTTCAGTGGTGAAAAAAACTACTTTTTTAAAAATCAAATCAATTAGGATGGTATTATGTCTTGTTATACATGTTAAAAAAAATTCACTTTATTTGAGTACCATGAATACCCTTTAAATTAATGAATCATTTATCACACAAGCTTTACCATGCATTGTGAATTTTTTCTTTTCTTCTTTCTTGTTTTTTTTTCTCATGCATGTTTAATATTTTTTTGCATGCATTCTTAACACATCTTAAATTCTCATGAAATTTAGCATCATATTCTTTCTCATGAAAAAGTTTAGGGTAAATGGACTTGAATGGCCAATTAGTTGTTGCAGTATAGAGAAAATAAGCAAAAGTTTTGAAAAGGTAGGGCTGATAGTTTTTTTCAAACTTAAAACTCATTTGATAATCTTCTAAATTTTAATTAACTAAAATTTAAATAAAGTGTGCCCGTGCCCACAACCCCATCCTTAAACATGTGTTCACACACTCATCTAGACTCATTTAAAAATCAAGAAGGTATTAAGTTAAAAGACTTCACTCAAAATTTGACATGAAAATAGATCAGTATAAACTCTACCTGTACAGAAATCAACTTTTTTATTTTGGAGCTGGAACTTAACATGATGCAACCTCTACTATAATGAAATCTCGCTAGAAGAGTCACAACCAGCGGAATATAGTTTAAAAAAATAAAAGCATAGACTACTCACAAAATGAAAATTAGACAAGAATAAAAAATATTAGCAAGAGTTAAAGTAAATTATTCCAATAGATCCTTAAAACAATGTTGGATATCAATAAGGATAAAAATGAATCATCTTACCATCACATGAAAGTCTGTCTTTTGACATGTAAAATAAACTTTGATTATCACGATCAATAATGAACACAATTTTACACCAATAATAGCTTCACAAATTAGATTAATATGACTAAATGGAACACATACAAGAAAGAAAGAGTGGGAAAAAAGAAGAATCAAACAAAGATTGATGGCATATGATATAATGTTAAATTAAGTAAATTAAAGCTTAATTAATACCCAATGTTTCTAAAATTTCTAATTTGTACAGCACTATATCAATATTTTCTATATCTATACATGATCATATTTCCTTGTGTTCAATTTTATCAGTGTTTCTTCTTCTTCTTCTTTTAGTAATTAAAACCAACCATGAATTTATCACATACTTCCAAACATTTTATATTACCAGACTTAAACATAGTTAACAATTAACAAGATTCCAAAGAATATTTTCATGCAAATCATGCGTATGAACAATGGTAAAGCAGTAAGATAGATTAAATGTATACACTATAGATAGTTGTAAAAAGGAAGAAAAATGATGAAAACATTAGATATATTATTAGAAGATCGTTGAATTTTCTTAAAAGATTTAGTCATGAATAAATAAAAGAAAATGGTATGTCATTCAACATGCCCGAAAAGAACTTTCTTTATGGATTCATAAATCAATAAAGTAAAAAACCATAAACAAAATTCAAAAGATATTTGAGTGATCATATCATAAAATAATTAATCAATATCTACATTATCAAATTCCTCGCTTGGCCAATCTTTGCGGGCATGGCTAGTTCATTTTATGGCCATGAAGACATTCAAATACTAAATTTAAGTTTGAATTCAATCTTGATTTCATATTAAAATTCAATTTTAGATTAAACTTGTAACACTTGTATGGTTTCATGTCAAGCTGTATATAAAAGTATTGTTGCAAACTCTAAGATAGGTACTGATGAAGATTCTAATGAAAGGTCAACCTTAGATTCCTCACGAGAAATTTTTAAATTGCTCATTAAATTTGAGTTTCATTGGGGTTGGTCCAATTCAAAAGTGAGGCATATGAAAATTCTAAGTATTTGTTGTTCAAAAGTGACCTCAAGTGCCACGATTTGACGTCCAGTAATTTCAAGAGAATACTTCTCCACAGTTGAGTGAATAAAGCTCTTTCACTGAAAACTCTTCAAAAGTTCTAATGAAGAGCTTTCCACAATTCCAGTTCATTCAAATTTAATGGTATATATAAGATATTCTTTATTTTAGAATCATTTTCAAAAATTGAATAATCATTAAAATGATCATTCAACTGAAAATCTTTAGCAGTCACAAACTCGATCTTAAGGAATATTGATGAATGATTGATAAATTCGTAATCAGATATAGAAAAAATATTATTATAAAAACAATGCAGAGGCGCAATAGTCCTAACAAAAAAACTCTAAAGCTCTTTAATAACGTCATTTATAACTTAAACCATACTAAATTGCTTGCCAAGTTCTTTAATGAAATAAATAATGATGAAAAAAAAATCCCTGAGTAAACAAAGCTTGGTGATAAAATTTCCAAACTTAACAAAATATCCATGCACTACCAATACTTCATTGAAATGTTTAATTTGATTACATAATTGATCATTATAATAAATGAAAGAAAATTATTATTCTTTAAGTTTACATGTCATAAGATCAATACTTCACAAAGATTGTGCAGATACCATCAATGTTCTTAAAATCATCCTTAAAAAAATTCCTTTAACTCATCTATCAAATTTAAAATATGATTTAGAATCACGCCTCCCATCAAATATAAAAATATTTTTTCTGGTAATTTCATAACATTTGTGATTAAATTATCTATAATCATATCTAAGATTATAAATATTGCATTGTAGTTAGCATCTAATAAAATTGCATACCTTTATTGATACATTCATTCACCCTGATAATAAGTTCACTTCTAAAAGTCATTATTAGACAACCTCACACTCTATTATCAAATCTTATATATAAAGGTAAATGAACTAGGACATCTGAAGTAAATCAAGCATGGCATACAAATTAGATGTGACCAACAGATCTAGCAAACAAGCAACCTTCACAGAAAAGCAAGCTATTAAATTTTGAAACAATAATTTACAATTGAAGATAAAAACTGAAAATCATAAATAAGTTTGGCCTTCTAAAAGATATCACTAACTAGAAAATTAAAGAATGTAACAAAAAAATTAAGGAATGGGAAATACATGCAAGCAAGTAAACTTAATTCATTAAAAAAGAATAGTAATGGAGCTGAAAAAAATCTGTAGTATTATCAACCAATATAATGATAAAAAGAGAGAAGAATAGCAAAATGAGAAGGGGCAAACAGATACAAATATGCAACCCTCATATTTGTACAAAGAGATTGCCTTGTCTGAAATACTTGAAATTTACAAGGTCTGCAGTGTTTTATAATGAAAATTTGTGCACCAAGAAGCAATTTTTTTATCAATTCAAGGAAAAAACAGCAGGTAAGAGATAAACTGTACGACAACAGCCCACAAAGATAAGTTGTAGGAAGGATAATAAGGAGGTATACTGTTGTAGGAATTGCCAAAAGGACGGCCTCTACAGTATCAAGAGCAGTAAGGAACCACGCACAAGACGGGTCACTACCAAAATAAAATCACAAAGAAATTAGGCTTCCAACCGAAGAAATTTAACTAGAGAAAATGAAACATGAGCAATAACTATGCAGAAATATAAGTAAAAAAAACACACAAATAGAAGCCAAAGAAGCCCGCAGAGATAGCAGCAAGAGTAGCAGCACAATAAACTGCATCAACAAGCCAAACACACAAATACCTCTATAGTTTAAAAAGCCTTGCACGTTATTCATCTTAAAAAAAGAGCATTTTGGAAATCAATAACATCTTCACTTGATGCCTTCTAAATTTTAGGTGGTCGATCAAATTTTTTAACCTCATCTTGCCTTTTTAATTTTCACTTCGTGTGAAATATATGCTAAATGGCAAATAGTTTGGAAATGAACTAGAAAAATAAATTGGCCATTTACCAAGTACATGCAACTATCTTAGTATGATGGTGCAGATAATAAGCAATATCTAAGCAATATAAATTTAATGTGTACATGACAAGAAACTTAAGTAATATTAAAAATTAATAATAGAACTGGCAAAAAATAGAATTATATGAACAATAGATACATGCTCCATCTGAAGTTACAATGTCACCATAACTTTAGAACAAAATTCAAATTAAAATCCTGACATATGTAAGTAAAAAAGTTTTAATTTTTAAAGAATGATATGAAAAAGACAACTTTGAATGTATAAAATAGCAATATCATCATCAGAAATACTTTAACATGAATATTTAAGTAAACATAAAATAGCAGATTCAATAAATTGAGATTGGTCTAAACACCAGATGGCTATCTATAAGTGAAATTATAATCCTGAAAAGAAGAAAGTATTGAGAAACTTTACAATAAGTGGATCGGCAAGCCAACAATTAATTTCTTACCACTCTTTCTGGAACTCCGGGAGGTCCATCAAGTATCTTAATACGAGCTTTTGATTCCTCGCACATTTTCTTGATACATTCCCCTTTTCGCCCAATGATGCCGCCAACCTTATGGGCAGGAACTAATATGCGAAAAACACTCTCACCAGGCCAACCAGGCCATCTCTTTTCAGGTGCTCCAGCTACTGCATTTTCCTCAACTTCTTGTTTTTGGTTTTCAGAGTTCTCCAGTGCCCCAGAAACATTATTGTCAGTAAAATTGTCCTCAAGCGCATCCATGATGTTTGGCACTGAATATGGCATTTGAATTAAATTTTATTTCATATTTAAAATTCCATTTTTTTAAAAATCAGAAAAAGTAGGAAGTTATGCCAAATTATTATCACTAAACAAGTAGATGTTGACAAAGTGGAGTTTCATCTGTATATACTCTCAAAAAAATGCCAAGAAATATCATTTTCCATAAAAGGTAAGAATCTACTTATTGCTGCGAGTAAGAATCTATACATTATCAAAGAAGGCCAAATGAAAGTAATTAATTCTAAAAGAAAAGAAAACTTTCAGTAGTTAAAAAAACAAGAATATTAAAAGATTTGGTAAAGCATCCCAAAAAAAACTACTCATTAACCGTATGATATATATAATCAAGAATGAGATGAAAATCAATAGTAACTTGCAAAGAAACTCCACACTGCCAAAAAGTATTTTAATTATTTTAAGTGACATAATGAGAAAGGCAATAGAACATATGCTGAGGAATATAATAGAAGACACCTTACCAAAGTTATCTAGCATGTTTCTAAACAAGTGAATTTACATATGAATTTAATGAAACCAATGTCATCAAGATATTCCATCATGTGTCAATTACCAATAATAATAATCTAAGTCGATCAAACCATCAAACTAAAGCACAATAAGAAACATGCTTAACTGTGAACAATTTAATTATATTTGTAGTACTTAAGAAAAAAGAAAGTATGAAAAACAACAAAACAAACACAAGAAAGGCTTAAAAAGAGCGTGAATAACCACTAAACTAAAAATTAAGAGGTAAATAAAACTTAGGACTTCCGTGTTCAGGCAAATCCACTAAACATACAACTATGAGATAAATAGCACCAAGGTCCCATGAGTTTCAAAAAACATATATGTAACGCAATTTGCTAAATTGACAAAAGTACATTTTCTATACAGTTTCACATGAGTCTTCTTTTATTAAATAGTAGCATAAAGAAAAAAATAAACTTCAAGAAGGCGCCACATCAAACTATGAAAAATTTTGAAATTTAAGCAAATTTAAAGATAAGTGTTAAGCTTATCTAAAACTAAAGTTTTATAATAGTCGACCGAAGTGTTGCCCGATAACCTTGAGGGACAATAGATGTTATTTCTATAGCATTATTATCTCAGATTAATATAATAAGCACAAGCCAGTTCAAAAACACAAAAGAGAAAATTGGTACTCTTAGCCAGCTCTTCAACATGAACTTCAAAGAACAAACCACCATTACTACAATTCTACCAGATCACTTATAGTTTAAACTATGTACATCAATAAATCACATTTCAAAAGAAAATGAAAAAAAGCATGCCTCTATCTTCAACTACTTCCTAAATTCCCTATCCAATTTTGCATTTTAGAATTAGTTTGTTGCTTAGAAAAAATTGCAATGCATAAAGGAAACAAGTTGAGCCAAGCACATCATTTCCCTTATTTCTCTAATGGAACCCACCTTATGCAAAGATGGAACCAGCTCAAGGGCAACCCAAAATAAGCAAATTCTAGCTCAGCAGAGAAGCATGATTTTTGATAATATACAGCGCCATATCAGGATCCATCTCAAGTAACCACCCTAAGCACTGCAGTAGATGCGCACTACAAAAGCTATTTCTTGCTTCTTTTTTTTCTCTTTTCAACCTCTAAATCAAAAATTTCTCTCCCGCAAAAGAATAATATACAAATCTTCTCAGCTACAGGACGCATAAGCATTCCTGTAAGTTTCACCAGCGAGCACTCCTATAGTGAGCCTATAAATGGATTCATCAAATCCGGCAACGTAAATAACAGATCGTACGATTTAAAATCAAAATAAAGGCAACACGTGTGAATCAGAATCCAAAAACCAATTGTTGCAGATGATTAATCATTAACAAATCCTTCGAATTTGTTTCATTTCCTCCTATTTCTCAGAACCTAAGAGATCCAATCGACAGAAGATATCCTGCCCGGGTAAGCGAGATGCCACAGAAAACTTGCAGCGAGAAGAAGAGAATAGGATGAAGAACCCTAACAAGGACATGAAAGAGAAAGAGAAGAGAAGAAGGTACCTGACCGAAGATGACTCCGATCTGCGTTGTAGAGAATGACGGCCAAGGGCTCCGAGGGTTTTTGAGCGTGAGCAAATGATTTCGTATGCCTTACCACTATTAATGAATTACGATTTTGCCCCTTATTTTTTCTTTTGGAGAAAATTACGTGCATAGCACTCAGGGTCCGTTTAGGGTTTAGGGTTAAAAACACACCTAGACTGTTTGGGTAAAATATGTTTTAATATCTTATGCGTTTTGAAAAAGCTAAAAGCAGTGCTTTCACACCGCACCTATCTAGGTGTGGTGGCAGCTTTTTGAAAACGGTCTGTCTTTCTTAAAAAAATAAAAATTTCTAATAGTCACCGCACTTAGTTTATCAACATATTATTTTTAATCATTTTATCAACAGGTTATTCAATAAGTTGCAACTGACCCAAATAAATTCTCAATTCTTCAAAATTTATCTAACACCCAAAATTTATTATTATTATTTTTTTGTTGAGAAAATTATATACATAGCACCCAATTCTTATGGATTTGTCCGTAGAACATAACACTTTACCTATGGATGAAAAGATATATTTGATTATTAAAAAATAATAATTAGTATCGAGTATTACTTTTTATACGATGTTTGTAATTATGAAATTATTAATGTGAGATAATTAAATATGATTTTTTTTTGCTATCGATATAAAAGCCCCTTCTTTGTTTGAGTTTTACATGCCAACTCTTGAAAATATTAAATATAATATTTTAATGACTTATACTTTAAATATAACATTTTAACTATTAAAAAATCTTCACATATAATCTTCATGAGTGAGTTTATAAGGTAATTGTAATGAAAAAAGTGATAAAATATTATAACTAAAGCTTTAACCACGACGGGTCTGGAATTTATTTTGAGAGGTGGCAAATTGGACACTATACCCAAAGTGGTTAGGGCAATTATGGTCAAAGTGATATTTCACTAAAAGCAGAGCTGAAATTTCAGGAGAGACAAAAGATCAAATTATTCCTTGACCCTACATGGATCGACCTCTCGATCTAACTGTAAAAATATTATATTTTATATTTTGTATGATTGATACATTAAAATAATTTTTATTGAAATTAATACAAATGTCATGCAATTTTCATGTATTTACATATCTAATACTAAAATTTAATCTTTAAGTTTATAATACTCGATATTAAAATTTTTTGTATGAAAGGTGTATTTCACTGTTAAAAAATTAGTTATGGTAATATTTTTATGTGATGTCAAAGAATTAATATTTTCTATATAAATATGAAACTTTTAATATTAGATATATTTATACATAAGTATTATGTGGCGCATGTGTAGATGCTTTCTTTTTTTCCCCCAATTAGAGTAACTATGGAAATGTCTTCTTATGTAATTATTACTTATTGAATATATATAGTTGTACCTGTACATTTTAATTAAGTATGGTATACAGTGATAAATCTTGAATTATAAATAATATATATATATATATATTGTATAACTTAATAATTTAATTTAGAATATTTGAACTTGCTTTTAAAATAAAATATATATTAACTCATTTAATAAAGGATATATTTTGTGATATTATCTTTATTTTTTTTGCTTGGAAAATTGTTCGTAAAGGTCTTAAGACTTGTGGTATTCTTAATCTCAGAGGCATTAATTTTCATTATTCTTGTGTACTTTGTTCTATTAGTATTGAGAATCATAACTTTTTTTTTTTAAATGATCTTCCTCTCATTATCTTCTTATGGAAGTTTTTTCGTGGCTCCTTTAAACTTCTCTCAAGTTTTCTCAAGTTTTGTATTATTCTAATTATATTTCTTGCAAAATTAAAAAAAAAAGATTTCGTCTTCTTTCTTTACAAATTACTACTTATTATATTTGGAGAGAAAGGAATATAAGAATGTTTTAGATAAACATACTTTTATTGAGTCCATTATTCGCAATATTCATTGGATTATTATTTTTAAAAGTAGGAACTGAAAATTTTAAAAGAATTTAGCTAGTAATATTATTATTTTTTATGTTATTCTTTATAACTAGCATTTTCCTCTTGGATTTCGTATGTGGTTTTTTTTCTTGTGTTGTGTTTTGGTGATGTTATGGTAAATTTCTGATGGTTGTTTTGGATGAGTTTTTAGTAGTTGGGTGCTTTATGTACCATTTATTGGTTGTTTCTTTTAGTTGGTGATTTAGGCTTGTTTAGTCAATCATTTGAGTTGGGCGGACTGTTGCTGCTTGCAGCTGATTTTTGTTTGTGGAACGATGTTTGATTTTTGGTTATAGATATCACCACCTTTTGTTAGTATTGGTTTTGAGCCTTGTTGAACGACAACCTTATTTAAAAATTTAAATTCAACAACTTTCTTAATATATTTTATATATTTAAAAGTGTGGAAGTAATTTGAATTATTCTCATTAGTTGATATGTTATTGGTGATTTCAACTACTTTCATGTAATTTCTAGGTTTTGTTGTGCGTTGCTTGCGTTGATTTGGTTGTGGAGGGTTGTTTGGTTATTAGTTACTATTCTAGATTTATAATTAGCTCTTGTGGCTTTTGTTGCTTATCATTATATTGATGTTACTACTTGATATTTGTCTTTTGCTAGGATTTGTTTTTTGAGCTTTGATGAATGCAAACCCTCTTTTCTTAAAAAAAATTCAACCCCTTTCTAGGTATATTTTAATATTTGGAAGTTTTGAATAAATTTTAATTTTTTTTTAATGAAGTAAGTTATGAGCTCATTGTGTTATTGTTTATTCTTGTGATTTATTTTTTTTTAATATCGTGTTTGTTTTAGTGTTTCTTCTGGTTTCTTTGTAAGGATCTTTGTTGTTTATTTGGTTGACAGCTGTTTTCTTTTCTTCTTACATTTATTTTTTCCGGTGCCTTTCTAGTGGAGTTTGTTGCTGTTATCAAGTTTTTGTGGCTATTTTTCATGTGGATGGATCTATGTTCACTTGCATTTTATGATTATGGATCAACTACAATATTTTCTTTGGCATAGAGATCTATTTTAGATGGTGCTTGTGATGTAGTTGTTGAAGTTGTAGATGTTGCTTCTACGGGTTATATATTTTAAGTGTAGTTTTTTTATATTTGCTAGTGATATTGCTTTTAATTTATTGTGTATATTTTTATTTTTCTTTCTATGCGATTTGTGATTGAGTTTTTGATTGTAACTCACTATTCTTTTCAATAAAGTTGGGTGCTCTTCTCACATTTTCCCGAAAAAAAAAAAATGGAAGCTGGGATTTTTTATTAATAATTTTTAGATTGAAATTTTTTTTATCATCAAATGTATGAATAAAATTATACTCAATTATCATGATAATTGTGCATGATTCAATTATTAATTATTTAATAATAACAATAAAATATATATATGTAAAATCAACAAATACTATACAACATGATATATAAAAATATCACATTTTTTAAATAATTAGAAAAAGTTTTAATACAATCTCATTAAGATGATTTTCTTGAAGAAACAAATGAAATATCAAAGGATTAATGTGGTCTTAATGATTGTAATTAGCCTTAATGATTTTCAATAAGAAGTAAATAAGCACTTAGCTTTAATGACAACGATACTTGCTTATTGTATTAGTGAGAACATGTGTCAATATTTTGAAGAAGAACAAGCCCCAACATCTATTTTCTTTTAGTTAATCTTTTCATTCATTAATATATAAAAAATCAAACGCAAGAGTTCCCCCCTTTATTTTATTTCAACACAAACAAGCGACTTCAATTATAATTCTCTCCTCACATGTTGCATTTTTAAAAGTTTAAAGAGACTTCCAATCAGCAGTGTGTTTGTGTTTATATGTGTGTACCTGTGTGTGAAAGAGAGAGAGAGAGAGGAGAAAATATTGCGTCCGGATTGCGTCTGGAGTCCGGACGTAAACTGCGTCCGAACAACGGGATGTGATGCACGGAAAATGTTTATTTTTCCTCTGCAGTTTTTTTTTCCCTTCGCTGCACCGTCTGCATCGCGTCCGTTGTCCAGACGCAACTTACGTCCAGACTCTATTTTTTCACGAGAGAGAGAGAGAGAACACACTGGAGTGAACAATGCTTATACCCATCTCCGCACTAAACTTACTGAATGTGAAACTTCACAGAAAAACTATCGGAGCATCCATTTGATATCTGAAAAAAAATTTACTATCAATATCCAGATTACTATAAAATTGTACATGTCTCTGCTTTAAACATTCATCCCATGAAGCAAATTTCAAATCTAATCAATCCCATCTTACAAAAAATCATCACTACATCATTATTCAATGATATTATATAAAAAGAAAAGGGGGGGTATTTCCATACATGCCGCCCAAATTCCATGTATTTACATATTTAACAGCTAAACTAAGAAATACTATCATCTATAACTTCTAAAAAGCAAAATACATATTTTAATGCATGGGTAAAGCGGTATGTATGTAAAAACTGAACTAGATGTCAGATAAATACGTAGAAACGGACGGGTATGCATGTAAATCCACCAAAAAAAAGACTAACTGACAAAGAATTATAATTATCATGAAAATTACCTACTCTCTGCAACAATGCCAGTAGAAGATAACTCCTGCTTCTTCTTTCTAATTAATTCAGATTTTGCAATGTGAGCAAGGCACATCACTGCAAGTAAATTTGAAAAAATTAACATAGGAAAAACAATGTTCCATCCCCAAGTTGAGATATATCCTGTAAGCAGAGGACCCAAAGCAGCACCAATAGATCCAGTGCCATCAATAATGGCTGTAATGGTAGCCAAAGCGCGAGAACTTCCTTTAACTAATCCTTGTGTCCCAAGATCAGCTGAAACAGCCGTGGTGATGAGGGAATAGGGGCCATTAACAAAATATCCAGAAAGAAACATCAAACCTGCGTTGAAAAACATTGATATGCTTCCACACGTTCTGTACAAAATGAGGGAAGGAACGGATAATATAAGGAAAATAACTGAAGTGATTGCTCGCGCGCCGAGGCAATCTGAGATGAAACCGGCTGAAACTCCGCCGAGGACGCCTCCAATGTCGAAAATGGTCGAGAGGATTCCAGAGGTTTGGTGTGTGAGATGCTTTCCGGCAACCGCTGTAACATTGAAAATTTCTTTAGGATGTTTACAGATATGCCATGCAATTCTCATGTATTTACATATTTAACACCTAAACAGTCATATTTATATACATTACACTTAAAATCTTTAACATCACGTCAACAATGTCATCATCGCCAAAAGTGAAATATACATTTTCATGCATAGATTTATGACACCAACATGTTATAAGTGTAAAAATCAAACTTTGGATGTTAAATATGTAAATACGTAAGAATTATGTGGTATGGATGTAAATTTCTCAATTTTGTCCACCAAAGAAATTGTGAAAGAATATAAGATTCCATAGCAAGTCTTCTTTGTAGAATATTTGAAATTTAAATTTCCTAATCATAAATTCATGATTATCCTTAGCATTGTCCGACTATTATGATTGGGTTAATGAATCTTCATTCATCATTCATTTTCGACAAACAATGACTGACATGTTAAAACTATTACATGCTAGTTCTAATAATGTTAACTTTAATTACACCTTTCCTTCTAATTCTTCATCATTAGTTTTATCAAAATCTCTTATCGTACATTTTATACTCTCCATCCTCCATACCACCAAAATTGATTCTCTTTTATCAGTAGCATGTGCTACTCCCAAAACCTCTCATTTAAAAAATTTGACAAGAGAAATTTGATCAACACTATCATATAGTTCTTTCCCATGTATTATCACGCAATGATCAGGACGTTATATTCTTCATTAAGACAGCCTTAGAGAAAATGACAGACTGCAAAGCGTATAAGAATATAGCAAAAAAATGCATTCTAAATTGCTTCGTAAAATAAATAGCTCGAGAAACAAAAAGTTACAGGCTCAAGAGGGGAATAGTCGAGAATTATGTTAGATTCTCCCCATAATATAAGTAATGAGGAAACCCTCATAGGCAAAATCCGTCTTAGGGTGTGCAATCCTGGTCTACCTTAAGTTCATCTAATGATTGCTCCTAATCCTGGCAAACTCTGCATCTAATGATTGCTCCTAATCCTACCGCTGGATCAAGTTTTGTTTACATATGAGGTAGAGACTTCCTCTAAGTGTTTGCCCGTCTCACTCAAGGGATAACACTCATGATTAAAGACATTGCTCGAATTCAAAGTTTAGTATTTGGGCTTGAATTTGATTGAATGTGAAATGAAAAAGGAGATGCATGTATACTCTATCAATGTCACATGATTCCATAATCTCATGTCTATTAAAATACTTAATCATCCAACATATAAGGGCTCTGAGCAATAACGTTAAAGGAGTATGAATAGCAACGATAAGTTGTCCCCTCTCTAGTATCCTGAGCTAATTGAAGTGAAAGTGTGTATTAAAGATGCGCTTCATGATATTGATTTACACTTGTCCAATAACCAATTTAACGGAATGAACAAGAGGTTTGCAGTATGGATTATTACAAAAATGTGCTAGACATAATCAATGATGATATTGAGGAATGCATGGCCATTAGATGATCATAAGCTTTGGTTTAACTTAAAAAACCATGTCTAAGACTCATGGGATTTTGATTTGTTTGGCTCTGAGTAGTGAGATAATTAGCATAGAAGGAGCTCACGGTTTAGCATTAGGTTGGTTTGAGAAGCTTACTAACATAGGAATTGGCCTTGTATTTGGGACATGGGCATATTTCTCATTTCATGTGCAATGGTGAGTCTTAATGTCATTAGATTGATTATAAGTTTAACTTTAGTGATGGGTATGGACATGGTAGTGTATAAAATTTTTATGTTGACATATTTTGGTCTCTCTTTTGCTTTTATACATAGATAAGCACTTATAATATAAGTAACTTGCTTATGAATTGACAAAAATTCCGTTCATTCTATTTTTTCATCATGTGCTTCCTACTCCAAGAGAAGAACTTCTTTCCGTGAGGTTCAGAGCTCTTGAAAAACCTTAAGTAAAGGAGAATTCAAAGTATATCAAAGGACTGCTCATAACAGACAATCTAAGTAACCTTCAGCTATGTAAATTACACAGCTAATGTCTAGGCTCCATTAAATATTCTTATATGAGCATTTCATTCTCTTCACTATTTATTTTATAAGCTGATTAATCTCATTTTAGAATTCACCTTATCTAGCAAAACACCCAAAAAATATTTTTCTTTATGTTCAACCAACAGTTCATTCTAATTTACTAATATCAAGCAATACCATGTCTAATTTTATTGATTGATGAAGAACTAATTTGCATATATTTACATTGCATCCTTAAGGGGTGTTTGGTAGTGCCTTCTAAGATTTATACCTGATTTACTAAATCCAACCAAAGCTAAAATGCAGAGGTTTGGTGGTTTTATGGATTTAGGGTACCAGAATTTGCCTTAGATTTAACTTCAATCGTGATTTATTAAATCCAGGGGTAAGATGGATTTAAGAGGCAATCTAGTAACGAATTTAGAGCGAGAATTAACCTGGATGTAGGCTAAATCTCGTCAAGCGGTCATTTTGGAGAAAGTAAAGCTGTGGATTTGATAAACCTGGATTTCGTGGATTTCAGCCGTAAATCCCATATTTACTAAATCCCGCGAATTGGTGGATTTACGGGATTTACGGGATAAAACAATTGGGATTTACCTGAATGTAGGCAGAACTTCCCAAACAGTTTTAATGGATTTACCAGATTTATGGGATTTCATTGCGATAGAGTTTCATAATTTGACTTATTCAGGATTTAATAAATATGGATTTACAAGGTTTACTAAATCCCAATAACTTAAATCTCATCTTTTGTCAGGTGTCGGTCACCAAATTAGAAATTGTCGGCCGCTGGAATGGATATTCCGACACCCGAATTTAAAAGAGGTTTAATTTAATATATATATATATATAATTTGAAAAAAGGTAATATTTTAAATTTTTTTGAAATAAAAGATTGAATCGATCTCATATCTGCAATTGTTTAAATGATCGAGCACAACACCGTAAGCGATACATCTATCCAAAGGAATATACATATTACTTACTAGTGCAGCTCGATTAAATAAACTAAAGATTTTATGACATCCATTTTAGTCTGCGAACATTAATCTGCGAACATTTATGTTGACCGACAAGTTCTCCTATTTAATACGGGAGATTAAATAGAGTTTATTTTAAGTTGGGTTCTTAAGTTCCCTATAGAAGTGAACTTCTATAGTTAATTACATCTTAAATGACTGAAACCACTTAAAAATACTCTCGATTAAGATCAGAGGTTCTTTCTTCAAGATTGCAAAATTTAGGTTTGTAAGGATAAATGTGAGGAAATCAAGGGGAGAAAGACTCAAAATATGAAAAGTTATTTTTCAGGAGTCAATGGAGTGAAATGTAGGTGATGTCACAGATCCATGGAGAACCCCGGTGACTTCCCAATTATCCTACGATTGGACCTTAACTCTAAAGAGACATCCTACGCCTCGTCGTCATGGTCTCGATCATCGCCCTCCATCTGCTTGCTTCCACGCTCCGCATCTTGGGAAGACTACTCTAAGCTTTTAACAGATTGATTAAAGGCTTAGGATTGTGGTGTTTATAAATGTACAGTTTATTGGTCAGTGGCTCACTACAGAGTACCTCCTAAACCAGGTGTTTTACTAGCCTCTAACCAAAAAGTCCTCTGCAAGTCTGTAGAAACAACATGAGTTATAAAAGGGGACATGTGATGTGGTATGGTAAACAACAAACAGTAATGTTGCAGGCATGAATTATGTGTATATGCAGTAAAGTGTGTAGTAACAAAAGTAAACACTGTAATCGTAAAACAAACTTGTATACCTGACGGGTCGACAAATCCTGAAAAAACTTGAGAAAAGGCAGCAGATGACCCAAAGTAACTCGAAGAAAACCGTCGAAAACAAGAGAAAAATTCGGAGAAAATCACAAGTGCTTTTTCAAAGATATCGATAAAACTGTAAGAAACATATAAAGATCTGATTTCGATAAAAACGTAGGAAAACACCCAAAAAAATATGAAGAAAGAAAGAAAGCCGCAAGCATTCGGGTCGGGCTAGGATCAGAATTATGTATAATGGGCATATTTCTCATTTCATGTGCAATGGTGAGTTTTAATGTCATTAGATTGATTATAAGTTTAACTTTAGTGATGGGTATGGACATGGTAGTGTATAAAATTTTTATGTTGACATATTTTGGTCTCTCTTTTGCTTTTATACATAGATAAGCACTTATAATATAAGTAACTTGCTTATGAATTGACAAAAATTCCGTTCATTCTATTTTTTCATCATGTGCTTCCTACTCCAAGAGAAGAACTTCTTTCCGTGAGGTTCAGAGCTCTTGAAAAACCTTAATTAAAGGAGAATTCAAAGTATATCAAAGGACTGCTCGTAACAGACAATCTAAGTAATCTTCAGCTATGTAAATTACACAGCTAATGTCTAGGCTCCATTAAATATTCTTATATGAGCATTTCATTCTCTTCACTATTTATTTTATAAGCTGATTAATCTCATTTTAGAATTCACCTTATCTAGCAAAACACCCAAAAAATATTTTTCTTTATGTTCAACCAACAGTTCATTCTAATTTACTAATATCAAGCAATACCATGTCTAATTTTATTGATTGATGAAGAACTAATTTGCATATATTTACATTGCATCCTTAAGGGGTGTTTGGTAGTGCCTTCTAAGATTTATACCTGATTTACTAAATCGAACCAAAAGCTAAAATGCAGAGGTTTAGTGGTTTTATGAATTTTTGGATTTAGGGTACCAGAATTTGCCTTAGATTCGACTTAAATCGTGATTTATTAAATCCAGGGGTAAGATGGATTTAAGAGGCTATCTAGTAACGAATTTAGAGCGAGAATTAACCTGGATGTAGGCTAAATTTTGTCAAGCGGTCATTTTGGAGAAAGTAAAGCCGTGGATTTGATAAACACGGATTTCGTGGATTTCAGCATTAAATCCCAGATTTACTAAATCCCGTGAATTGGTGGATTTACGAGATTTATGGGATAAAACTATTG